TTAAGTTGTATCTCGCTGTATTGCACGAGTACCCTTCTAGTGTGTGTGTGTGTATATATATATATATATATCCTCATTCACCAATCATAATTTTTCATTTTGTTCATTTTTTTTGTAATTATGAGAGGTTGATTAATCATTTTTATTGTGGAAGGTGTTAATCGTGGATATTATCATCTCCATTATTTTAATTTTAGAGAAATATATGAAACATTTTTATTAAAATTTCATTAAATATTATATGAAACAATTTCATAATCATATATGAAACAACTTCATCAAAAAAAGTATTATATGAAACAATTTCATAAGATTAAACAATGAAATCGACGGATGAGAATGGTTTGCACGGTTTGTACAAATTAGTTGGTTTGCATTTGATCGTTCATCTCTCTCTATATATACATTATTTATGGAGTGATTCTTATATTTGTTTGTTGCGATATTTTTCTATAGAAATTATAATGGTACAATATGAGACACACAAGGCGCTAAAAACTATAATTGAACGGATAAGCACATAGAATTTTTGGATGGATAGATCGTACAAATTTATAAATGATTTTTTTCTTGTTCTGTTATATATAACAACATGTGTGGAATGTAGTGTTTATACAGTGTTGTTTCATATATAAAATATTGATATTGTTTTGAGTGTGGAAATAAAACAGTCTTGAAAATTCCACATATGTAACAACACGAAATAAACACTATATTTTCACACTTGTTTTTTAAAACATGAAACAATAAATGAAATTCGAGTCGTAAGTTTCATATATACATTATAGAGAGAGTATTCTTTTGAGAACCCATAAAAACTGTGCATCATGTGTTATTTCATGATATTATTATCTTCATCTAAGACTATGATTTAGAATATTGGTTAGCATATATTATTATTTTAGTTGATCTTTTTTATGATACGACTTTAATGTTGGGTATTTTTTGACATATATTTGTTTCACGATGTGAACATTTTTCATCTATTTGTAAAACAAAAAACACAAATAAAAAGTTTCACATTATGAACTGTGTACATATCAAACAAAACACATTGTAAAACAAATATATGTTAATCAATATCTTAAATAATAGCTTTCTTAATCAATTTATTTAGATGAAAAAAAATCATTTGAAACAATTCCACACACACACACATACATAGGTGAAGGATCGTGTAAGAAGGGAAGTTATGTTGAGAAACATAAGAAAAGATTTGAACCACTGATCACTTTTAATCTCATGTGCACCCATAGTGTTGACATTCAATTTGGATTGATCCAAATGTGAATATTACTTCTTATGCTTCTCATTATAACTTTCTTTCTCATCGGAACTCAACCCTATGTGTGTGTGTGTGTGTATAAATATGTATGTATATATACAGACGATGGATCGTGTGAGAAGAAAAATTAAGTTGAGAAGTAGAAGAAATCTGAATCCTTAATCACATTTAATCTCAAACTTATTCATGAATCGCGCTTGATACGAGAATTGGTCTGGTGTATCTCATTCTAATGTGTATCAAAATGTGAAGAATTTTTTTTACCATTCTCATCAAAACTTTCATTCTCATCGAAACCCAACTATATATATGTGTGTGTATGTAGAAGTAAATTGTATGAAAATGTAACGCACTTTGTCTTGATTCCTATTTTGGTTAACGTAATTTCAAAACTTTAATTTTGGTACCTAAGATATGAAGTTGTAAACATTTAAATACGCGGGTGACCGGTTTAAGCACTAACCGATTACTAATGCTGACATGACGAGTGATTTGACATCTAATTCAATATTATGTGTTGACATCGCTAATGACATGGATTTTATAAATATAAAATTAGTTTTAAAATTATTTATTTTATTAGAATTTATATATTATAATTATTTGTAAATTATATATATCACTCAAATAATTATAATATATAAATTCTCATAAAATAAACAAATTTAACAGTAACTTTACGTTAGAAAAAGTCCATGTTACTAACCATGTCAGAAAATAATATTGAGTTAGATGCTAAATCATCATTGGTAACGGGTTAATATTTAAACCGGTTACTCAAATATTTAAATGCTTGAAATTTCACATTTTAGATATCAAAATAAAAAGTTTTGAACGTACGTTATCCAAAATAACAATCAAGACAAAGTAAGTTATATTTTCTTACAATTTACTCAACTTAGAATGTTGGTCAAAAAGGATAAATATAGGATGTGTGATGGATATGAAACCGCGAGGAGTAACGGGTTCTTGACGGATTTAACCCTCAAAGAAATGTAAATTACAAAACCAACTCTTAAATAAATCGTTTTCAACATTTGATCCTCCATTTAGCATTTAACATCATGTGGTGTATAGAGGGACCTCGGGCTGTAAACGAACCAAGCGTTCAGCGAACCGTTCGGCGGGAAGTTTGTTTATTTAATAAATAAACGGATATGAACAAATTTTTCTGTTCGTTTAGTTAAACGAACGAACATGAACAAAAGTCTCGTTCGTTCATTTACCGTTCGTTTATATTCGTTTATATATTATATTTAATATATAATCTTTTGTTTATTTATTTTGAATTTAAATAATATTTATTTATGTTCGTTTAGCCCGTTCGTTTATGTCCGTTCGTTTAGCATGTTAACAATCTTTTACATTTATACAACCAATACAACTCAATTTCAACCGTCCATTTAATTTGATGAATATATGATTTCATAGAAGTTTTTATTGTAACATAATATAAAGTATTGATCATAATTAATGAACCTTATTTATATTCCATAAATATTTAAATCATAATAAATGAACTATAATCATTTTCATAAATATCTTAATTTATTGGGTTTCATTAGTTGTACAAATGTAATAGGTTGCATTTGAAACGATATATATATATATATATATATATATATATATATAGTTGACATAACATACTAGGAATACAAAGATGGTCTTTTGGAAATTAAAAAATATATAAATTGTTCAAAAATTGTTTTCTTGTATCTTTTTTAATTGAAATGATGGTTTAAGAGTCTATTTTGTTCATCTGCTATTATATTATCTTGAATAAAAACTAATATTATAATATTAATATTAATTAAATAATCCATAAATTAAACCTAAACCTCAATTGCCTTCCTACTTCCATTTCCATCTACACCACTTTCCTTAATTACACCATTACCCCCTACACTACCATTGATAACAGATTCCTCACTTTTAACCCCCTTAAGAATCCCATATTTACCCAAAAACCCCTCACCCCAATCCCAAATGTTCAGTACCATGTACGTTCCAATACCGGCGATCAGTCCATACGCGATGGAGTACGTCAATGGCATCAATATCAGCGTCATAAACGCCGGTATCGCCTGCCTCATATCATCCCAATCAATCTCCACCACCGATCTCATCATCATCACCCCCACCAGTATCAACGGCGGCCCCACCGCCCATGCCGGAATCGATGCCAGCAATGGCGTAAAGAAGAATGCCAGCATGAAATATCCCGCCACCGTCAAAGCTGTCAGTCCGGTCCTCCCACCTTCTCTTATTCCGGTGGACGACTCAATGAACGCCGTTACCGGCGACGTTCCGAGTAATGATCCCACAACGATTGCCGATGCGTCTGACATAAAAGCAAAATACTGGCCTTCAAAGTCGCCGTTTTCGTCGCTGAATCCAGCGAAACGTGCCATGGAATATAGGGTTCCGGTGGTGTCGAGGATGTCAACGTAGAGAAAAGTCACTAATGCTTCCCAGAAATAAGCTTTTTTAATGCTTGAGAAACTCAATGCGCCGGCGGTTGATTGGATTTTATGAACGTCGACGATCTGTTTGAAGTATTCGTAGGCGGAATCACCCGCCGGAGTTTGTGGAAACACCGTTACTTGCGTGTTACGGAACCATGAAACCGCCGTCACGAATACAATGCCGTAAATCATCGCTCCTTTTATATTTTTAACCAAACAATAAGCTATAATTACGAAGCCGACCACGCCAAGCCATAACGTTGGGCTCTCCATTCGGTTATTCACACACATGATTTCGCCGGAGACTGAGCCGGCGGGAAGGAGTGAAACGGTGCCGTTTGGGAAAGTGATGACCGGCGCGAGTGACGCGCGTGAGGATCTTGGACAGGCGCCTAACGTAACGAGGGTGGAAGAACTGTAGCCGATTAAGCCAATGCCTTCGTTATTCTGCAAACCGATAAACGCTAAAAATAATCCGATTCCGGCGGACGAAGAGATCCTTACCGGCTTCGGAACTAGTTTCGCGAGCTTAGCACGTACGCCGACGGCGGAGACCAGAAGAAATATCATCCCTTCGATGAAAACAGCGGCGAGTGCGTTTTCGTATGAAATGTTGCCGGAGCCATGAAATCCGACGACGGTGTAAGCGAAATAAGCGTTAGTTCCCATTCCCGGAGCTAAGGCCAACGGTAAATTAGCGAAAGTCCCCATGATTACGCAGCCAATGAGAGACGATGCGACGGTGGCAACGATGAGGTCCTTCCTGACTCTTTCTAGACAGGCGGTGTAACCGGGGTTGACCGGCGGAAACTTGCAGGAGATATCAGGTTGAATGACGGTGCAGTTGGTGGCGGAGGGGTCGGAGCAGAGAGGGATGCAGTCGGAGACGGAGCAAGTCGCACCGGAGTCAGAGAGGATGCTGGCGTTAACAGCAAGGATGTAGGCCATGGTGAGGAAGGTGGCGGTGCCAGCACGGAGCTCGGTGGTGAAGGTGGTGTTTCTTTCATTGAGTTTGAAGCGTTCTCCGATGCGTGATTTTCCGATAAAGGTGTTGAGACGTGTCAAAGACGACGGCGGGACGGAGGTCTCCATTTTTGTATGGTAGGAACCAGGGAGAGGAAGTACGTTATGAGGAGATCATGGTTGTGTAGTGTTGTGTTGTCTCCAAAAAAGAGATTTGTTGGTTTGAAATTCTATCGAGTGAATCTTCATATATATATAAGATTATTATTAGTGGGCAATCAAAATAAAAAATAATTTAATGAGTATCAAATAATAAAAATATAACAGAGTTTGGTTTGCAGAGCGGAATTTGATGGAAGTGGAATCCGTTAAGGAATTTGGTTTTGAATGAATCATAATAAATCACGTTTGGTTGGTAGATTGAAATTGAATCTCTCAAAAGAATTGCAATTACCATCTCTGTATGGGGGAGGATGGTAGCTTTGAGGACGACAATAGTGATATGGTGGTATTGACGGTGGTGGCTGGTGGGGTAGCTGTGATGACAAAAGTAATGGGATGATGGTCGGTGGGGGTATGGTTAAGGTGGTAGATGTGACGATGATAGCAATGGCATGGTGGTAGTGGGTTGGGCGGGAGTAGGTGGCTGAGTGGTAGTTGTGACGACGACAATACTTGCATGGTGATCGGGTGGTAGGGGTGATTGTGACAACAATAATAATGACATAGTGGTCAGCTGTGGGTTGGAGGTTAAAGGGTGACGGTTGTAACAATGACAATAGTAGTGTGGTTTTTTTTTTTTTTTTTTTTTTTTTTTTTTTTTTTTTTTTGGGAAGAGGAGGGGGGGGGGGTAGAGGTGAGGTGAGGGATGGGGAGTGTTGGTTAAATTAGATGTAATAAGATAAAATTTAATTCATTCGCTTATGCCAATAAACGGGATACTACATTTTCAGCATGTGAACTAAAACAAAAGAATTCAAATTTGGTTAAAGAATTGATCATTCCAATTATGAATTTTGTTACAATTAAATATAATTTTTTTTGAAAATTTTGATTTTTAACTACTAAAATCGATCAAATAAATTTAAAAAAATGGATCAAGTAATTTTAGGTAATTTTTTAGAGATACTTAAAAAATGGATCAAATAAATTTAAGAAACATAATTGGAAAAAACTATTATTTATAGTAAAATTATAATAATTGATTCCTTTAAAACAACAATAATGGTAATAATTACGCAATTGTAATCAAGAATCTAAGATTTTTCCGTTTCTTTTTAAACTATCTATTAAAAATAAGACTTACGGGTTGTTTACCCAAATGTTTATCCGGTAAATGCTTACCGATACAAGTCAAGACTACAATTTATTTTGATGCTTAAGATTTTAGTAAATCAAAACGTATTGAATGCAACAATTTACCCGGTAAGCACTTACCTAGGTAAGAGTCGTCATCTTTACTTACTGGGCAAGACTTTTCATCATTTTCCTCGCTCTTACCCGGTAAGATTATTGACCCTTGTTATGTTCATCCGAATAGAAACTTTATCTGATAAACACTTACCAAGTAAATATTTAGTAAACGGTCCCTTAATAACATCTTCAAAAATACTATTTTGATTTTTTTTTTGTCATTTAAAAATCAATATTCTAAGTAAAATCAATTTAAATGAATGTAAGACCATCCACATACGGCTTTCAAAGCCAATTGCAAAAGCAATTGCAAAAAACTTTAGTTTGCCACATGAGATTTCACTTTCAATATTTGCAAGTCACTTTGCAATGCCACATGGCACCCACTTGCCTCCAATTTTCTTTTTTTTCTTTTAATTATTTAATTAAACTATTTTTATACAAAACAATTAATTTTATAAATTAATAATGTTAATATATTTTTAATTACATTAATTATATAATAAATTAAATTATTTTAAATATTAAATTTTATAATTACATAAAAAATAATTAGAATGTATATATAAATAATTTATAAAATAGTTAATAAATGTTGTAGTGGGGACCACTTTTGAAAGTGTAGGTGAATTGCAGGTGTGTGGAAGATAATTGCAAAAGCTGATGTGGCATAATTAAAAGTGTAAATGGATTACAGGGATGTGGATGGTGTAAGTGCTGAAGTGATGAATTATATAAATATTTTAATACTATTATTTATTACAAAATTAACACTTCACCACACACATAAATATAAAAATAGATTAATGAGCTTTTTACGAGCTAATACCAATAACTTTTATTACTATTTTATGTTAAATCTGAAAATTAAAGGGCTCTTTATCAACCACTTATTCGGTAAATGTTTCTCGACAAAATTAACACTATCATTTACTTATTATGTAAGATTTTAGCCCATCAAAACAACATCATATGCAACAATTTACCCGGTAAGCACTTACCATGGTAAGAGTCGTTACCCTCACTTACCGAGAAAGACTTTTGGTCTTTATCTCGTTCTTACCGGGTAAGGTTCTTGGTTATTATCATATTCATCCGGTAATGTAATAAGCACTTATCCAAATAAGCGTTTGATAAACGATCCCTAAAATTATTGAATCAATTGATTACTTAATGGGAAAAAAATGAATACTAATGATTTCAGTTATGATCGATATCTTTGATATTAATGTTAAACTAGAAGGGTACTCGCATAATACAGCGAGATAAGTCTCGATTTTAATGTTTTGGTTTTTCTTGTCTCAGTCGATGTTACAATACAATTTTATGTGGTTTTAACGATAATGTTTTTATTTTTGAATATAAATATAAATATGAAGATATATAATAAAAAATGAAAAAAAATATTGATATTAGTACCAAACTAACTATTTAAAATTTTCTCGTCTTTTGTGTACTCTTTAATTCATTTTTTTTTTATTTTTGGTTTACTAATATAATTTTTATAAAGATAATAATTAAGTATTTGTTAGAACTCAATAATTATCCTAATTATATTTAAAATGAGACTTTTATCCTCTATTTGATTATGTTTATCTACAGTTAGTTACACGAATTCAAAAATAAAGCTTTAATTAATTGTATTTAGCACAATTTACTTATAATCTTGAATGTTAAGTAATATGCATAAATAAACAGTATTTTATGTATAAAAAATAATTTTTAAAATTTTTTATCAAATGTTTTATAATACAATATAGATAAAATGTGAAGTGTGTTGATTCAAATCATCCATAAAATAGAACGTTTTTTTTTTTTTTTTTTGCCTTTAATAATCTGTGAATAAAATATGCGAGAAACAACCAACGGTATGATCACTATTTTTTTTTTTTTTTTTTTGCCTTTAATAATCTGTGAATAAAATATGCGAGAAACAACCAACGGTATGATCACTACTTGATTTATGTATTTAAAAAATAATAATAATAAATATATAAATTTTCTAACGTGTCATTTTCGTTCAGATTATCATCATCATCACAAATTCCAAATAAATATAAAAAGATCTCAAGCACTAAATCCCACAAATGTCTATTTTATTTTATTAAAAATTAAGTTTTTTAAAAAAGGCAGAAATACCCTGATAATAAGTTGTTAAAGCAATGTTGTGCCATAATTAGGAAATGTTGGAGGAAAAACTGTAAAATATATAAAAACTAAGGAATACTTTAACAGAGGAGCGTTTAAATAAAAATCATTCAATTTGTAAAAACCGTGAAAACTTCTTTCAACCAATCATAATTTTTTATTTTGTTCATTTTTTTGTAATTATGAGAGGTTGATTAACCATTTTTATTGTGGAGGGTGTTGATCATGAATATTATCATCTTCATTATTTTAATTTTAGAGAAATACATAAAACAGTTTCATTAAAATTTTATTAAATATTATATGAAGCAATTTCATAACCATATATAAAACAAATTCATCAAAAAAATATTATATGAAAAAATTTCATAAGATTAAACAATGAAATCGACGTATGAGGATGGTTTGTACGGTTTTTACAAATAAGAGTAGTTTTCATTTGATCGCTCATCTACTTTAATAATTAATTATTTATAGGATATGTATATGTATATATAAGTAATTTATTGAGTATATACATGTATATGTGTATAAAAATCAAAAAATATATTCAATTACTTGTTTACACATATACATACTATACAAATGAATGATTACTAGAGTGTTTATCAATTTCTTGAAGGTTTTACCTTTATTGTTCTTAAAACGTAGATATTTATATTTGAAATTTGAAATTACATTATTACTAATATTAGAATTATGGATATTGCTATTTTTCAATCAAACACGACATATTTTCTCGAAATTAAATTTAGACTTTAAGATACTTCAAAGATTTCATATATATTACTGATCTACTAGAAGGATACTCGTGCATTGTAGCAAGATATATCTCGATTCTAATGTTTCATTTTATTCAATTTTCTCTATCGATATAATACGGTTTTACATGGTTTTAGAAAACGATAATATTTTTATTTTGAACGAAATATAAATTTGAAATAAAAGGTATCGATAATAGTATTAAATTAACTATTTAAAAGTTCTCATTTTCTGTGTAATTTCTTTAATTCAATTTTTTATTATAATTCAATTTAGATTTAATAATAAAATAATTTATTTTTGTTTATAATATTAAGTATTATGTTAAAATTTAATGATTATCTTAATTATATTTTAATTTTTATATTCAAAATGAGATATTTATCTTGTATTTGATTATGTTTATCTACAATTAGTTACACGAATTAAAAAAAATAAAGCTTTAATAAGTTATATTTATACACTATTTACTTGTAATATTAAATTTTAAGTAATATGCATCAATATACAGTATTTCATGCATAAAACAAACATTGTTTTTAAGAGTTTTTGTCAAATACTTTATAATATAGTATAGATTTACATGTACTTTTGAAAAACAATTTTTTTAAAAAGTTAACGCCAAAAGGTCATAGACCCGACCCAACCCAACCCAACCGTACCAGTAACCCCACCACCCTAGAGATTTAGGGTTTAACTAGTATTCATGTTATTAGTATATCTGAACTAAACACAAATGCAACTGATGTAAGAACTATAATTCTTCACCTACAACATTAATTCTCGAACGTATAACGAAAATCATACTGTGAGTTTAAACAATTTTCTTGACATTAAATTTACCCTTTTTACAAATAAAATAATCATATATATATGAAAACTGTAACACGAAGCATATTTAAAAGACGAGGGTATGTAAGTAAAAACATACGTCAACACGTATTAGGAACCGACTTTAATTAGTTTATGAACGTAGTGATTTTGCTTTAATAATGAAAATGAAATAATCAAATTTCTTATCCTAATCAAAGGATTGTCTGTGTAAATTAAGACAAGAAAGGTAAAGTAAATGGCTTTAGAAGATTTGGGTGGGGGTATGCTTCTCAACCACTCCATACGTCTTTTTCTTCTTGCCTTTTTCCACATCATTCGTCGGGTCTTTGCTGATGCCAGATTTAAGTGCTACCTACCAAACATTTTCTTTTTTACTTTATATATTTGAACCATCACGTTTCCGTTTTCTAACCATCCTTGTCACATCACATATGATAATACACGTTTCCGTTGGAGGGTGTGTGTTAGAGTCCCACATGGGCTGGAGTTGGAATACCCTTCTCTCCTTAATGATCCAAGTGTAGTCGGTATTGATTACTTTTGTGTTTCTTCTAGAAACAGTTAGGCGAACTCTGGTTTACTTGCCCCAAGTGAGTTTATGAGTGGAATAGAGTATATGGTGAAGAAAGTTGTCTCTTTTGGATATGCATATAACTTTTACTTTCGAGCTTCGACCTTTATGTGGAAAAAGCCAATTCCCAAAGAAAAATAGTCCCAAATCTACTTGAATAACCCTAACTATTGGCCCACATCATCCAAGTGTTGTTTGTGCAAAATGGGAGGAAATCAATTGGCTCCAAAAAAGCTCTAAAGTTGAACATTTGTCCTCAACTTGTCAAGTCACTGTTGAATGATCAACCGGTATGAACAAGATCTTAAGCTTCAAAAGAAAGGTTCCATCACTTTAGTTTGGTCTTGTGCTACTTACTACTCTCCAAAGACTTCATCAACCTTCTACAGATTCCATAGCAATGTAAAATATGGTTTTTGAGGCCATGGCCTTGTAAGCCTACCAAAAGGTTATTGGCGCACTGGTACCGAAGTAAGTTGCATCCACCCAAAAGGTCAAGGGTTCAAACCTCACCAATGATAAAGAGTGTGTGTGAGTATTTTTGTCATTAAATGTTAGAGGTTGGTTCAAATAAGAACGTTAAATATCGTGGGAAGGTAAGAAGTGAAAGTTAAGGGAAGACTCGCAACTGAATCCATTTGAAAAATCTAGGTGATGATGTATATATGAACGTTACAGATTATCCATATAGGTTCCCATATGCATCTTATAAAGTTTTTTTTTTAATGATTCACATATGCACCATCACTTAACCTTCCCTGAATTGAATTTAGCCCCCCTTGATAAAAATTCAAATCTTTTCACCAATGTTTCCTTGATCAACTATTTTCCCAATTTCATACTTTTTGCATCATTATGTTTCCCTTGTTCTCCACTTCAAAGTTGTACATCTATGGTACCAAGGGCGGACCTACACAGTTCATGGTTCCATTGTAATGGAAAAAGTACGTTTTTTAAAGGGTGCCACTGCATCATCATATAGTTTTTGAAACTAAAATTGTAGTGCTAAGGACTTTAATGGTGGAGATAGTAACATTCCTGCCATTATACAAAAGACCAAGGTGGATAAGGAACAACTAACCAACCAAAACGTCCATGTTAATTTTTTTTAATTGGTTTTTTTAGATTGTCTCACCAATTAAAAAAATTCAACAAGCACATAAACATAGAAAATCTAATTTTTTATATTAATTCTGTGTTTTTTTTTATATTTTTCGTAGCCACTTAAACAGGTCAGAAACTAACCAGCTTCAACAAGGAAGGAACAAGTTTTTATGGTTGCATCTAACCTCTTCATGGTCGAGCAAGAGAGGCCAGATTGATGTACATAGTTACAGATTTGGGTGAACGGATTCTTTAATCACAGCATGCCGCATTCCTAGGAAGTCGAAGGTTGCAATATGTGAACAACACAGAAGATGGAAAAAAACACAAGAAATTATCAACAACAAAAAAAAATCAAATAGAATAAGACACTTGATTTGCTATAGGCAACAGAGTTGCTATCCTGGTGGCTATAAACAGGTTCAAATGCAAGGTTTATAGTTGACATCAGGGTCGTGGCGGAGGGTGTACCAACGTGAGACTCGGCACAGGGCTCCTAAATTTTTTGGGGCCCCAACCAGTTATATATATATATATATATATATATATATATATATTGATTTTCAGTCCATGTTTTAACTCAATCTCTTCATCTTGTCCTTCGTATTTTAGCCCATTTGGAAAATTATAATGTTTTAGTAATGTAGTCCAATTCACCAATCTCTTCCCTTTTCGACCAGATTTTTCGATTCGCCGATTCCTGATTTTACGTTGCAAATCTGTGCAATCCCTTCTCCTTAGGCCTTTCATTTGAAGATTGAACTCTCCTAGTCAGCTAGTCTCGTTTAGCGTTGTTTTCCCGATGCTAATTTTACAATTGAAGAAGAAAGCACGACTCTTCTTAACAGTCTTCCTCTTTCTTGTTCTCTATTTTTCTCTTTCTTGATCAACGAGCAGCCTCGTCTGCAATCTCGTTGACTTTTATATATTATTTTGTCATTTTAATATATTTTTGTTGCTTTAATTTGTAAAACTTTTAATATAATATATGATATGAACTTCTATAGAAACAAGTATAACATACCGACATTTGGAAGCATACATAATAATAGCTTGGATTTAAGGCACAACCTTCACATAATGAACAACAAACACAGTAAATTGTCACTGCACCTAGTGGTAACAAAGAAACCGTATGGTTCGAAATCAGACTTCTATAGAGGATTGCGAGAAAATTCTAACTTACGCTGAAATTAATCAAACAGAGATGTGGCGGCTTTGCAGATGAAGGCATGGGAAGCAATTTCAATGCCGGCTATATACACAAACACATATAAGTAATCGTCTGTGTCTAGTTCAACGCCATGATTACTTGCGAGATACATACATAATTCGACAAAAACATAAGGATCTACGACTTGTATCCCATGGTTTCTAAACGAGCAATCATAATATTTCAAATTCGATCCAGAACCATCAAATGCATAAAAATCACCAACTTCAGTGGAAAACATGTAGAAACAAGCCAAAATTTCTTCATCGAACAAAAGGCATGTGAATTATTAAACACAAACGAAGATTAAGAGATAAACTCACTCACCTCGTAGAAGCGAAGATTTCATAGCGTCTAGTAGGAATGACAGAGATCTAGATATTAGGGTAAAACGACGACCAGAGCGTCCTTTGGTTTGTAGGTAGGTGATTGTTGCTGAACCGCGAGGTTTTTACCAATAAAATTTGTTATTCCAATTAAACCGTTTGTAATATATATTTCTCAAAATATGAAAACTATTAAAAAATAAAATTAAGATAGTTAAAATTTTCATATGGTAAAGAAGAATTTTTACTTTTTTAACCGTGAGATTTCATATCAACTTACCCACTTTAAACGACCACAAATATCCTTAGAGCCGGTAATTCGAATACGGGTTATATGGTATTTCCATTACATCCCCTCAGACTTATCAAGTTACTCACAACCAAAATGGTTTGGTAAGAAGAATATAACAAAATCGGTCTCATCGAGCTTAGCCGTCACATTCGGGTCCAAATCAGCCACGATTAGGGCTTCTACTTGTCAGCAATTTGGTGCGGGTGATTGTTGGCAACCAAACTTTAAAGAAGTTTGTCACTAAGAGAGGTTAGGATTTAATTTTGGATTCTCGTAAATCGACTTCTAAACAGTTAAAAGGGCAAAACTGTAAATTCATTTTTATCAACTTCTAATTTGGTGGCTTCTTGTTTAGTTCTCCTGAAAAATGAAAGTTCTGCATTGTCAAGTTGCAGAGTATTCTAATCTATTCAAAATTATGACTTTTTGGCTTTGACTTAATGTTGGCAAACAGGTCATTTAGAATCTGAATAAGATTACAATGAATTTTAGTCGTCTTCTACGCTAAAAGCTCTGTTTTCAGTACCTGAGTCCTTTGGCAACCTCAAAAAAGTGAGCCACATTTTCCTCTGGTGTACCTACAACAATCCCGTGCCCAAGATTCAGAATATGCTTACCTTTCCCCGCTTTCTCCACCGTATCATTTATCCGTTTCGTGATGAACTCTTTTGACCCAAATAGCACCCCAGGGTCCACATTCCCCTGGACCGCTATATCAGACCCTAACCGTTTCCTGCCTTCAGCCATGTCCACGGTCCAATCCAAGCTCACCACATCGACGCCGGTCAAGGGTAGCCTCTCAAGCAACCCGCCTGATCCACTTGCGTAAAGTATCAAAGGGAGGTTTGGATGAGTTTGTTTTACTGTGTCGACAATTTGCTTCAAGTAAGGGAGACTGAATTCTTCAAAATCAGCTGGGCTGAGCTCCGTTGCCCATGAGTCAAAGATTTGAACAGCTTGAGCACCATTGTCGGCTTGGTATTGAATGTACTTGGCCATCGAGGTTGTGAACTTTTGAAGCAGTGCATGGAGGACCTGCATAATGGGAATGAGAAGTTGCATTATGGTCTTATAATGTTGTCTATATAGGGTCCACTTTTAAGGGTCTGTTTGTTAATGGGACTCACGGCTTATTCTGTTAGCTATACATGACTGTTTGGTAGTGGCTTAATGATATAGAAACTGGCTTATTTAGTAAGCTTCTAGGGGGGTTTATGCAGAAAGCCAAGTTTTTCCCAAACCTGTCATTCCCAAATAAAAAAACATGCTCATTCCATCTATGGAAAACTCTTCCCAAACAAAAACCTTCCTAATCTATTCAGAGAGATTAATCCACAATGACAGCTTTATCCATAAAATCAACCAAACTTCCCCTAAGGTCTTTTGGAGAGTAACCAGATTTTCTCACACGGTATCAGAGTTGAGGTGACCATCTAGGACATCCTTACCCTTCTACCCTGCGTTGGAGGCGGCGTGTTAAAGAGTCCCACATTGGCTGGAGTTGGACACTTTCTCTTCAATACATGTTGGAATACCCTTCTCTCCTTAATGGCAATTTTTTAGAGTAATCAGGGGGTTCCACTTATGAGGATCTCTCATGTATGTGATTCTAAGACCATTTGTGGTACAAAAATATGCTACGGTTATATTTGAATTTACAAACTTCGAGACGATGAATTAAGTTACCTTGGGCTGTGAGAAAGCTAGCCTCTTTATTTTGGAAAAATGCTTCGATGATCCGCCTTCAACCACATATGATGCAAGGGTAAAAGGAGCTCCAACAAAACCAAGAACCGCGGCTTCATTATTTACCTGAGTACCAGTCATGAAAAATACTAAATGCATTAGGTTTCTTATGCATATATACATACAAACACACACATACATATATATCTCCTCTTTTCAGAACAAGAATGTAACATTCTTCTAGAGCTATCCCTTGCTTTAAAGAAATCAAGAAACTCAGATTTCTGAGTAATCTGTGTAAGATTATATCCTCAAGAATTTCCATCACTGTATAACTAGTATGGCAGCAAGATGAAGTAGATGGAAACATGCTAGTGAAACCTAAATACTTTCATTTGTAGGCACACTTGTTCAGATATTCACATGTGAAGATATCCTTCACATAAAAGGGGTATTTTGTTTCTTCAACAACTATATGAACCCGAGTGTATATTAGACATACACAACCACAAAGAAACAAACTGCTCTACTCTTGGGGCCTCTAGGTGGGACATACTAGGCTTGTTTGGTTCCATTTTATGGTTAGCATAATTACATGAAGGTAATACCTCTTTTCTCAAAATTGTCAATGCCTCTCCAACATACGGAACCCATTCTTGAGGAGTGAATTCCCTCACTTTATCAACGTCACCGGCCGTGCTCACTGGATCAAAAATGATAGGACCTTTTCCTTTAACAATGTCAAAGGGTATGTTCATTCCCGGTAGAGGCGTAAGAATATCTGAAAATAAAATAACCTGTAAAGATGGTCAATAAGACTATTTGCTAACGATACCTAACGCAAATATAAGTCCTTTCAAGTCTTATGGCTTACCCCATCAGGCTGAAAGACTTTCCATGGCTGTAGAGAGATCTCCACAACAAGATCTACATTCTCTGATCTTTCACGAAACGAAGGATGCTTCTGACAGATGGCTTGATAACTCTGTACCATAAGGGTAAGATTACCATAATTATTATTTATCAGACATAAGTGGTATCATTAGAACAAATAAAGAAACAAGCAAATGTGGTTGTGACCTGCCTTCATGTACCTCCCTGCTTGTCTCATAAGCCAAACTGGGGGTCTTTCTACATCTTCACCACGAACAGCATTAAGCAATAGCGGTTCAGTTGCGTTGACTGCTTTTCGTTCAGCAACACTTGCTGGATACCAGGTTCAACGTAAGACACAGATAATACGAAACCTAATACTCAGAAACAGGTGTATGTAAACATGGTACTCAAAGAACACCAAGCTGATACTCAAAAACCCCTTTAATTAGGAGATAAAAAGGCCAAGATTATGAGTATATAACAGAAAGCAAGTTCCATGGACATCAACTTTCCACCTTTTCTCGAATCAATTCATATTATGGAGTGAAAATCTATCATGGAGTTGGAACTCAAAAACAGGAATAACAGGCAACTTGTGGAGATATAAATGCAAAAAATAATCATTAAGGTCGAAAATTTAGGCCCAAAACCACTGAAGTTTTCCAAATTGGTAACATTTTCTTTCGCGAAGAACGCAGCCAAAAGATTCTATGGTTTCAAAAAGTCAACCACTCCTACCAATTACACATAGATTAGCAAAATTGATGGTGAATTGGTTCATAATCAACACTGGTATACCTAAATGAATCAAAACTGGGATTCGTAAAGAAGATGATCGAAAGATACATCGGAAAAGAAAGATTACCTCCGGCGGAGCAGATGATTTGATTTGGGCGACGATGAGTAAGATTGGAAACCGAGATAGAGGAAAAAGATGGAACCGACATAAGTGACATGGTGCTGTGAAGCTTTTCTTAACAAATTTCTTGTTTCGGTTGTTGAATTCGTTTGGTAAAGAAGGAAGAGGGTTAAAAGGGGTTTGGATAAAATGAAGATAAGGAGAAAATCCACATCTCTATCGTCTTCTTTCTACGACAGATCTCATTATTCATACAATTACAGTAATTCCGATTTCAACCCTTCAATTGTTCATCGTCCAATCAAACGCTAACTACCAACGTTCCATGCTTTTTTTTAAATCGGTTAAATTACAACATGGCAAATTAATTAATTTTTTTTATATCTTTATTTTTTTTATCTTTCATATCTTTTAATTTTAATATTCTTTATTGAATTATTTTATAGTTTTTAGTCCTTTGACCGGGTTTTTTTAGTCTTTAACCGGGCCATTTTTCGGGCTTTGACTTGTTTTTTTTAACCGATCCATAACCATTCTTTGGTTCGAAACGGGTTTTTACCTATAAGCGCCCGTCTTTTTAAATCGGTCCTTGGTTAGGTCAGTATCGATTAATCCATCTTTTGTGCAGCTCTAGTAATCATTGTTTTCCCCCTGACAAACATTTCAATTTTTGGTACTGCTACGATAAACCTATGTTCGCCTTCCTTGATGAAATGCCTCCATGATTATTTCAAAATGCTACATTCAAATATGCTTCCTCTAACCACAAGGGTGGTGCCGAATTGGTTTCAACTTGGGTTTCAAAGGTCCCACGTTCAAATCTAAGGAGGAATAAAAATCACCTTGTAGCCACGGAGGTTCAAATGCGGTGACTCTGGTCTACCCGCAAAGTAGTTGGTCGCCCTGGGATTAGTCAGCTCGCATGGCGAGTTGGATATCCAGGTTAATAAAAAAAAACTGTGCTTCCTCCTTTTAAACAAATGAAGTCAATTGGGTAGAATGAACATGAAGTCTGGTAAATGCACCAATTTCATGACCTACCCACCTGATTGTATATGAACAATGCAAAACATGTATACAAGTTATATTGGAAAAAGAACGGGAATTGATTCTTGGATGGTTTTAATCTACAACTTGCTTTTGTAGGTCCATGAAAGCGAACCTTTGTGAGTGAATAGTCTATGAAGATTGATCATAGATAGTTCATTGAAGCTACCAACAGCAGATCATACCTGCAAGTTCTCAACATAATCAGAAGTTGTGAGCAGCCATAATACCCCAAGGAAATCATCCTCGAGCACCACGGATTTGGATGATTTTCGATCCTGTGAAACCCCATTATTACATGGGTAACAAGACCACATACCTTCTTCATACCCAAGTTGTTTCCAAGCACTCAAATTCAAAGCTTGAGTACCTGCTTGATCACCATTTCCTTTCAGTTATGTAAATCATCTACATATATATGAGTTGATGGGTGAATAAAAGTATAGTGACAACAATATATATTATTCCTTCTGCTCGTCTTAACTCTTGTTACCTTTGGAAAACTAAGGTATCGTTTGTTTTTTAAAAGGTGCTGAAGTATGAAGTCTTATTTCAAATTTTATTGATAAAAGTTGGTGCTTAAGTATGAAAGCAGAATCAATAAATACGTTCAAGAGCTTACCATCACATTGTCCCAGGAGAAAACGAGTCCCCATACTCTTCATCAGGCTTCATAGCATATAGAATTCGCTTTAGAAAACCCTCTTGCAGTCTACCATTTAGAAAATCCTGCACGCAAACTAACCTCAAGGTTGTAAACTCCGCCATACAGGAACAAAGAGATACACAGAGTTTTGATGCCAAATGGAAAAAAGTATGGTTAATTTTTGAAATTCAATCTAAAACTATACAAGGCAAAATTGTTAAATTTGCAAGGATCAAGTTTACAACACAATCAAGAAGAACTACCAATAAGAAAGTACCAAATTCAGATATAAACTCAAGAATCTGGGATACTTGCAACATCAACTTTCAAGGGTCCATCTGGTCTCAATGTCTCAAAACCATCTCCATATTCAGCTCCAATTGCCTATAGACACGAATTTTTCTTTACAAATTTCCCAATTATTACTCAAATGAATTTGCCAATACATAAAAACACCACAATTAACCAATAATTGTAACCATTGCTCAATGTTAAAAGTTAAGAACTAGAATCCCAGAAACCCTAAATTCAAAATGAACCAATAGCTCCACCAAACATCAAACGAATGAACAACGGAATAAAACACGATAAATCACGTTTAAAAATAACAAACACTAAACATAGCGTTTGCAATTCTAGATGCAAAAGCAACCTCTTCCATTAAAACCTTGGTGGATGTGAACTGAAATCCATCAACCGAAACGCATACTAAGTTTCTACAATCATAATTTTGTTCTATGAAGCACGAACTTTGTGATTTCGTTCAAATACTCGAATCATCATGATGTACACATAGAAACACAAAAAATTAACAATTCCAACTGAGATTGAAGACTAACCGATAATCTGAGTTTATTGGGGAACTGCTATGGAGGATACGAAGATGCGTAGTTGGAAGCAGTCTGAAACTAAAAGCCGATTCCATAATTTTGATTTTCGAGATCTCGTGGACAAGGAGACTATGAACTGCTCTACTGCTCTGTTTCGTCTATGGCTTTTGCCATCCATATGCCATAACTACTAATTTTGATTCCGTACGGTATGTATCTTCAAAGCCCATATCAAACCGTCTCATTTTCTACTTAAGGCCCATTAACCCAGATATTTATTATATTTGGCCCATTAACCCAAATATTTATTATATTTGGCCCATTTACCAAAACACTTACTACCATATACAGAATTATGAAGCCTGAGTGGGGTCCGTGCATTTGCTAAGGGTGCGTTTGGTGCGCAGACAGGACTGGACAGGATAGGACAGGACGGGACGGGACAGGACAGGACAGGACAGCTGTTCAGCGTTTGGTAAGACAGGACAGGACAGGATAGAACTGGTTAAAATGACCAATTTACCCCCAGTGAGCTGTTTAGTGTTTTTTCACTACGAAATGCATTCTGGTAACACTGGTCCTACTACCACTATAGCCCTAATAATTCAACAATAACAATAACAACAACATTCAGCAATCATAATCAATGTAAACTCTCGAAATAAATCATAATACTTCATTAAAATCCCTAATAAGTACTTCAATTAATCAAGTTGTTGGCGAAATCGAGTACGAAACCACCATCAAAATATAATTCCTTACTTGCATGAAATAAAAAGAAAGATATTTGAAGAGTTCCTTCAAATTCGTGATGTAGTTGCTGTAAGAAGCAGCGGCGGCGGCCATCGGGAGAAGCAGCGGCGGCGGCCATCGGAGAAGCAGCGGCGGCGGCCATCGGAAGTCGCCGTCACCGGACGCCGGTTGGGCGGTGGAAGCGATGGAGGAGAGGAGAGTGAAGGGGAAGAAGGAAGGTATGCGTATGAGGTTTTTGAGGGTAAAGTGGTAAAAAGTTTCTTGTTCTACTTAGTTCCATGGGTAAAGGGTGGACAACCTTGTCCCACCCTTGTTCTAGTTTGTTCTAGTTAGTCCCACATAAAACCACACCAAACATAGGACAATTGTGTTCTGTCCTGTCCTGTCCCACCCTGTCCAACGTACCAAACGCACCCTAAACGTACTTTTTGCAAGTACATCTTTTTAGGGTATGAATGATGCATCTTTTAGACTTTTCCGAGGTGCTTCAGGATATAAGAATATACAAGAACAGTAACCAAAAAACCAAAAAAAATCCTTCGAAATTAACCAAAAAACCTTATAAAACACCTCGAAACGGTGGAATTTATCTTTAAACATAGCGGATGACTTCTCCTTCCTTTGATCCAACTTAAAGGTGCACATGCTCGACAAAAATCTTGGGTATGTCACTGCATGCAAGTGCTTAACATGTCACTTAACTTTCTAAACGAGTATAGCAAGGACCTAGAATCTTACCTAGTAAGAGACATAACAAAAATTAAGTTTTACCGGATAAGTGAGGATGATGATTCTTACTCAGTAAGAGCTTATTGGCTGATAGACGCTTACCAACAACTCATTTTAATAGTCATAAATGTTATACAACAAAATAAATAATAGTCGTTATTTTCAATAGTAAGTGTTTGGTAAATGACCCTCTATTTTACAAAATCTCGTGTACCATATTTTAGTACGACTAATTATTTAACTTGATTATTCTATCTAATAATCACTTTTAAATAATATTTTTATTACGAAAATTAAAATAAAACATGATATTTCCGTTCACAATTAAATCAATAAAACGTACTACACGACTTAATAATGCACATCTTATCCAAGTAGGCCATAAGAATTGTCTATGAACGAGTGTGGGACTTGTAATACATGCCTTCCCATAAATTTTTGGCTGAAATCCTTTAAAACGAACATGTACTTTTCCAAGATGACATATCAAACAATACGTGACCCTCTGTGCTGCTAAAGTCTTCGTCTTGCTTCCTATATATCAACGGCTCAAATCCTTTAAAGGCTGCTGAAAGGTTTATTTGATTGTTAACTCTAAAACCCTATAATTATTTGAGTATGTAAACACTAACCAGGACACATAAAACTGTTAAAACCATGTGGTCTAGGTCTATTATTTCATTCAATTTCATGACATTACGTTTGTCATACTTAATTGCAAACGACTAATAATCCAGGCATTAAATACCCTTTTATTTCATATTATCATGTGACAGGAACGATAACGACATTAAATATGAAATATATCTGTTTTAACTTGAATTAACAGTAACTACTAAAATCATGTTTGGTGTACTCTCAAATGCTTCTACATAATTGTACACCACTCCTAATCAATTTGCCCTCTTCTTGGTTGGAAATGATTTTGGTAACACCTATTTAAGGTCATGAGGATCTTTTTTTTAACACAATTCAAGATTATACATGGGACTTGTGTACTATTTTTTTTATTTTAATTTTCACATGTCCAAAATATATAGTTTAATGTGGACAGGAACTACATCATTGACATATCGACATATCTAATTCAGCTAATGTATAGTAAGGGTATGTTTGTAAAATTACCTCTTAATACTGATCCGTTCAGATATTTGGGTATTAAGAGTGTTTGTTTTATTTTTAAAATAAGAGCTTAAAAGCTCTAAATGTTATCTGAAATTTTAAGTGGTAAACGTATCCCCTAATCTATACCATATTATAAATCATTTGACAAAAACTTTTAAAAACCAATTTTTATGCACAAAGTACTATATATTGATACATATGATTTAAAATTAAATATTACAAGTAAATTATGCATAAGTATAACTTATTAAAACCTCATGTTTGAATTCGTGTAACTTACTGCGGATAAACATAATCAAATAAAGGATAAACATCTCATTTAAAAATCTAAAATATAATTAAAATAATTATTAAGTTCTAACAAAATAAATAATTATTATCTTTATAAAAAATTATATTATTAAACCAAATAAAATTACTTCATTACTGAACCTAAATTAAATTATAATAAAAAATTGAATTAAAAAATTACATAAAAATATGAATTTTAAATAGTTCATTTGATACTAATATCGATATATTTTTGTCGAATTTTTATGATGTTTTCAAATTTATATTTCAAAAATAAAAGCATCGTTGCTTTTTCAAAATCACATAAGACCATACTATAACATCGATGAGATAAAAAATAAAATGAAATATTAAAATCAAGATGTATCTCGCTGCATTGCGTGAGTACCCTTCTAGTACCTCTTAATCCTAATTTGCTCTCTATCAAATGATTTATATTTTCGGGGCTAGAAAATATTTGTTAACAAAAACTATTTATCTTTTATACCTTTGTAAAAAACTATTTATCTTTTTGTATTTTTGCATTAGTTTGATGGATTCAAATTTCATATTTCAGACGTTAAAACAAACAATCTTACTGATCCAAATTTCAGACTCCAGGACCACCTCTTATAAATCATAAGTGAAATCAGACTTCAGTACCTCTTAAAAAACAAACTCACCTAAGATTACGACAAACACAAACATTGCTTAATGATTGAACGAAATAAGTCATTAGATTATTAAGTTGATTAAATTAAAAACAAACACTTGTTATTTAACTTTTATCATTTAAGAATCATGCAATATTTTGTTCTCAAATTTAAGGGCTAGAGGGAAGGAAACAACCCATGGTCTATAAATTAAATAGCAACAAAAGTCCGATACGTATTTGGTGAACATGTCAATAAAATTATCGTTACATATGTTTCAGTGTATTTATATTTCAAAACCGTACATAAGATCAAATTTAATGACAAGTGTCTATTTGTACTGTAAAATAAGATCAATGCTATGACATTAAGCATCATGCTTCATACAAATATTTCTTATACATACAGGTTAGAGCCCTAACACGACATGTTGAGTACGACTTGTTAAATATTAGGTTAAGCGTCTAGAGATGGCCAAATGGGCCCAGACCGGCCCGGTTTTTCATAAAAAAATGTATTTTTAGCTTTCTAAATGTATTTGATTGAAAATCAATTTACGTTAAAACATATTTTTTTTAAGTGTATTTGATTGAAAATGCATTATAAAACTATAATAAAACGTAATTTTTAAGTGTATTTGATTGAAAATCAATTATAAAACTACAATAAAACGTATTTTTTAAATGTATTTGATTGACCTAATTAGATATTCTAAAGTGTATTAGAATAACATTAAAGTATTTTAAAAAATTTATCAAAAAGAATTTTTTAACAAAATATAGAAAGAAAAGGGTCTTTTTTAATATACGTCCGGTCTGGGACCAGGACCTGGACCGGTTATCGTAACCGGTTACAAGTACCCTTATCCAGGCCTTACTATTTTCGACAGGACTGAGACCGGGGCCGGTTACACCGGGACCGGTCCGGATTGTTACTGTTTGGGACCAGGACCGATTGAGGCTCGGCCTGGGTCGGGACCGGGTTTTGGCCACCTCTGAGTGTCGATGAAGTCAAAGAGATTATTTGATCGTCTAAGAGGTTGTTTGGCAGTTGCTGAATGGTTTAGTACAAAATGATTATGTGATCAGAATGATTAATAGGCTCTCATGATATAGTGCAAAATGAAATATAATTGGTTGGTAATTGTTTACAATGAAATTAGGACACTTAATGGTTAAAAGAAGCTCATGATACAAAACTATTCAGATGGTTTTAGAACTATTAAGAGACAATTTTTTTTTACCAAACAAGATTTATCTCCTAACGATTCAAATGTTGTCTCTTAATGAAACTATTAAAATGTAATCAAACAACCCCTAATATATAATTGGAATTAAATTTGATTTTAATAATATAATATATTCAAAAGTAATTATTAAAGTACTTAAAATAATTGATATCTATATTATATTATAAAACATTTGACAACAACTCATAAAAACATTTTTTATGAATTAAATATTGTTTCTTGATGCATATTACTTTAAATTCAAGATTACAAATAAATTGTACGTACGTACATTATAATGCTTCATGTTTGAATTCGTATAACTAACTGCAAATAAACATAATCAAATATCGTATAGGTATCTCATTTTAAATATAAATATATTTAGGATAG